CGATTTTCCCTTGGAAAATCCCTTGTTTACAGAACTCGATTCGACTTCTACAACAATTCTGTGTTGAATGCAGTACTTTGGGACATCTTGCATTATTCCCTACTGCATCGTACACAACATCAATATTCCACTTGTACCTTTTTGTGTGGATACAGATTGTCCGACAGACTTGCGTCGAATCCCGACATCACGCACGATCAAAGTCCGATCGCACGTGTCGAAAACCTCGTACTTGAATAGTTTCTTTTGGAACGTAAAAACTCATATTTCGTCATTGACTTGGGGATTACTGGGGTTTAGCATACGCTTGGTTTAACCAAGGATTGTTCGACTAGTTCAAAACCACATGCAACGTCGCGTGAAACTCACGCGGGGCGTGCCCGTTGACGCGTGAAACTCACGCCACTTCGCATGAAACTCAAGCGATGCGGGGAGTGCCCATTGTCGCGTGAAAATGACACGGGCCGTGCCCGTTTATGCGTGAAACTCACGCGACTTCACGCGGGGCGTGCCCGTTGTCGCGTGAAACTCACGCGGGGCGTGCCCGTTGTCGAATGAAACTTACGCGACTTCGAGTGAAACTCACCCGCGGGGCGTGCCCGTTGATGCGTGAAACTCACGCACGGGGCGTGCCCGTTTGAGGACGATACTACAGACAGACATTCCTAAAAAAATGTTAACGGACACATTTTAGGCGCGCGTTTTGCGTTGTGGTGCTCCCAGAGAATGAGTCCTTTCGCCCGTTTACGTGCGACCGACATACGTGAAGGACGAATGACAGACGATGGCTATAGAGTGCCGACCTGTTGAAATGCGACATGCGACGCTGATTCAAAAGTTATTTGAAAAGGAAACCAATCGCGCAAAATTAGTTTGTTCGTACCTTGTCCTGGTATTTTATTGTATATATACTTGCCGGTAGATACAAGCATGGTGAAAAGATCAGCAACTGATGACCATTCTGCAAGAAATCCGACTGTTGACCATCAAGCAATGGTAAAGAAGATAATGGACCATATGCGCACGGAGGTTGACTCCATTGAAGAATCAATCATTGGTCGAATGCAAAAAATATCATCGCGGCTTGATAGCCTTGACAATAGTACGTGAAGCCCTATTTTCATTTAATCTTTGTTTAAGACTTTCTTCTAACGGAATGTCCAGCTATTGATAGTTTGATTATTGAAGCGGGATTGCAAGATGCTGTTGATTCTGAGCGGTCCGACAATTGTCCAATTCCAAGCAAGGCTTCGACTGTGTGATCAGTGACATTATCTGTGTAGGAAATTGATGGATGTTCTAGCATTCATTGAATGAGAGACATCAATTAGAGCGTTGATCCAGGCATGGAACTCGGCATGCGGCTTGATTCGATGGTTTCATAAGCATCATGCTATTTTGTTTGAAAATATTAGAGTGCTCACAGTTCATGAGTAAGGCTAATCTATGCTTTGGTGGAAGAGGGCTTAATACTATATAACAATGTTCACTTTCAATCAATAGAACTACACTATGTGACCTAGAAAATTCAATTAGATTGTGGTAAAATGTGTCATAGCAATCGAAGAGAAAGAGACTCACCAAAAACAGATCGAAATGCCAAGGCAACATCAGAGACATCTCTTGCATTGGCAATGTGATGTGCGTTCTGTTTGCTGGATCTTATCCGTTCCAATCCATCTCGAAATAGACGGTCAAAAATTGGGATCGGGGCAACAGGACACTGATATGATAAAGTTAGCTGACAGGTCGACGAAGGATTCAGTTTCTCCGTTTCAAACTCACCCAGAAGTGGTATCCTTTACACGGCTTGAGTGTTGCGGGAAAAAACACATGAAAGGCTGTTGTACACTGATACTTCGCTAGATACAATATTGTCCGATATAAATCGTATTCGATGTCCCTTTGGTCGACAACAGTGCCGCCCTCGAAGTACTTTGTCTCGCCGTATTTGTTCGTAGAATGGAGTGCCAAGTTCTTGCGCCTTCTTTCGTTATAGCCAATCAAACATTCAATGGCAGGCTTAAAATCACGCTTATCACAAGCTTCAACCAAGCACACCAAAATGCCCGACAAATCTTCGTGATCCCATACATGTGAGAAGTAACCTTGAAGATTGAATTTACTCAAAAGTGGATCATCACCAAGGGACTCTGCACTTGCAATCGTCAACTCGTGGTGGGTTTGCCTTTCTGTTGAGAAAGGATAAAGCACTCGGGCACAACTATGGCAGGCACGAACTGCTACGTTATAGTCCCTGGATATACGGTTGTAAGACAAGCAACGAACAAACAACGTAAAGTATTGTGCAAAAAAACGAGCACGCAACTCACCAGGCTGCAAACGCACAATAGTGTTTGCTCATTGAGTCGGATACTGGGAGGGGCAACGGCAAGGAAAAGCCTACAGAGAACAAAATTGCCGTTAGAGAGTTAAAATCAAGCTGCGATCGTTTCAACAGGATCAATCTTACGAGCAGAGTACCACCAGAGATTGTAGTAGAGCTGTGGATCAAGTCGCTTCAATGTATCTCTCTCCAAAATTCCTTCTCCATTCTCCTTTATCTGTTTTTCAAGGGACAATCTCATTGACGCAGGACTGATGTAGGTAACATAGGCCGCATCGGTATGGCTGAATACTGACCCCATCTGCGGCGGGAGAGGTTTCATTTTATTGTCCCGATCACCTGGTGTCTTCAAAGCCTCAGTAGCAGTTAGAGCTTCTTCAATCGAAAACTCCTTGTATCCTAGCATCGGCATATATAGATGCCTGCAGCGAGGGCACTTCACTGAGCCGCTGGTGTCATTAGTTTGAATAGCATCCCATCCAGCTTGAATCTATCTACTGTGAGAGGATATCCTAGATAAATTTGCAAATTGGAGAAAGTCCTTACCTCTTCGTCAAAGAGTATGTATCCACAAGCTTTGGAAAAATGAGTGAGACAAAGAAAAAGATATACAAAAGGAACCATGGACATACCTTCACAGGCTTGCGTTCGAGACCATATCGCAACCAGTCGGATCGATTCCTTCTCCAGCCTTCCACAGCTGGCAACAGATTCTGGTGATCTCATGTCCACCAAAAATGATGACGACATCGAGACTGGCAGCCATGGCTTGTTCGACCGCCTTTTTATTTGATCGACCAAAACTGATTGGGAAGTATCGTTCAGAGCTGACTCAAATTGACTAGAAACAGGATCTTGATCTTTGTATTTGTTCTGTCGCCAACGCCGACCAGCTTCTTCAAGGCTATTCAGGTTGCTATCAAGAGAACTAAGAAACAATCCCGGTTCCAAAACTTTTGGGGTCTTTGCCTCTTTTTCTGATTTCACATTTTCAGTTATGGGGTCATCAATCTGTATCATGCTCTCTTCTGTTGTCCCAATGGAGCGTTTCGAGTACCCCTCAGCAAGGGCTCTGGTGTATTGTCCGAGAGTAACTGCACTGGGAAAAATACCATCTGACCGTAGAAGACCAAATATCTTGACAAGTTCCATCCTACGATCGCTCTTTGTTCGGCCACATGCAACGATTAGAGCTCTGTACGCTGCTTCGTCCGGCACAATGCGCCGCTTTCCACGGAGAAGTCGAAGGCCCCCAAGTGCATACAGAAGATACTTCGACTGGGTCTGATGCGAAATATGATTTTGGGCGACGAATGTTGGCATACACAACAACCAAGCACCCAAGAAGTGCGACCCCTTGTATAAAAAAGCATATGTGGAAGATGAGATATAGATGACTGATTATCGAAGCACAAGGAAATTCCTACCATGAGCTTGGGAAATTGCCAAAGGCATCTTCTTTGGCTTTGTAGCCCGTGAGACGATATTGCCAACTTCTGTCGTCGGTCAGCCTCTTCGATCTCTTGCTCGCTTCGAGTAAGCATTGGAGTTGGGGCAGTCGACATTTCAACTAACCATGACTCTGGTTCTCGGGGAAAATAAAAGTCTGCGTTTAAACGATCAGGGAATGTTGTATTTCCGTCGATGCAATAGACAAACCGAGAGGCGTCGGGAATATCTCGAGCAGAAGGCACAGTCACCAAATCGCCCGTTGAATTGAGCGCAAAATCGCCGTTGTTAGTCTTCTCGGAATGTTGCGCAGAGCTGTCACTTTCGCTCCCGTGCTTCGAATCTGTGTCACCTATTATTTCCGGTCTTGGAAGTCTTGCTTCGGAAGCCGATTGATCGACGAGAAGACTGTAAAGCAACTGTGGTGAAGCGTCATCGTGTGATTGCAAAGTTTCGACCTCACTTCCCAGTCTTCCATACGGAGAATGGGATATCGAGGAATGATACTCCACAACACACTCGTCGAACAAGAGACAATGTACATCGCTTGCTTCGGTTCGGCGTTGGATGTAGGCTTGAAATAATTGAGTAGAAACAAATAGACCTAGATAAGGCGCTTTGTCTTCGGAGACAGATGAAACAAACCCTTTGGAATCAAACCAGTCTTCTCCACTGACAAGAAAGTCAGCATCTGGGACAACAAGATACCGCTCATAGCCACCCATAATGGAGCAAAAGAACCTAAGAAACGCATCCCGAATAGCACGATCATCTAATGGCTCCCCGTTGACACTTCCAAAGCCATTGTGATCATCTACAAATGCGGTGGCGGACGATACGTCGACAATCGCATCCGAGCCAGTAGTCGTTTTTCCAGGGACCATACCAACATCTCGGCAGAGAGTTTCAATCTCGGAAACCAACGATCCACGAGGGCCTTGGGGGATGATTTCCCAAGAACTCTGAAGTAGCTTTACCCTGTAGATTTCAACATAAGTTTTTGCCAAATTGAAATAAAGATCGATATATGGTGCAAGTTACTGACCTATCACCGCTACAATCAATACTTCCAGAGTCCAAGTCAACAATAGTGCTGTCTTCGGGCATATTTCTACGAACTACTGCTGCAAGACCGCTTTGCTTCTTGTCGTCGTGAATACCGACAAATATTGCTCCAGGAAAGTCCAAACACGACATGAAAGGCTCAGTTAACCTCGGAACGTATGGTGCACTCGAGTCGACAAATAGTACGTTAGCAGAACAATCGTCACCTTTCAGCGACATGGAGCAGACACAAGAGTACTCACCACAAATCAAAGGGAAACAGAAGTGACCGGAGAAGCTCACAAACATCCAAAACCAGTGACGGTTGAGATGACATTACAATGATCTACCACAACATGAGAACCTTGTGGTTGGAATACTAATTTCACGACGTCCAACCTACCTTTTTCTCCAAAGCAAGGAAACCAAGGACGATAGCAACAATTGTGGGGATATCAAGGCATGATATCAATCTTTCATAAGATAAATCAACCAGTGGCAGATCTTTGGAAGGCGGAGATGAAAGTGCCATCGGGACACTGAATGAAGGCAAAGGGATCAGGATACTAGGCCCTCCTGGCTTTGGAACTGGCACGGCAAGCAACAGGTGAGAAATATACCGTTCTAAGGGAAGGGCAGAAGAGGAACAGGAAATTGAATGTAGATGCGACAGGAACTTTCGAAAAGCAGTCCAGTATGGGTATCGACTAACGAGGCAAATCGTCTTGTTTTCAAAAGTAGTCATTTCATCAAAAGCGGTAAGCATATCAGGAAATTCATCTCGACGCATTGCGGCACTGCTTGATCCCGATGCCATTTCGTTGACATGAATTGAGTGTGGTAGCGACGCACGCTTTCGCCTTGCTGACAATTGTCTAAGCTGCCTTTTCTTCTCCTTTGTGAGAGGTTCCATAAAGGAGACGCAGGAAACGCATATTGAGTCTCCGCGCTCGTTCTTGACAACAAATCCATAATATTGGGGGAGAGGGACATCCTTGAACCTTGTACGATACAAATGACATCCCGTTGGATAGCAAAACATTGGCAGCTCTTCCTCTGGCAATGGTAGTCCCTTGTAATTCCTGTACGGGAATCGGTCTAGCACTGTAGCCTTGAAGGTTGCATCACAGAAACCTAAGGGTAAATTTCGTTTGAACAGCAGACAGTTCGTTCCAAAGGCAGGGGGTCTCCAATACTGTGATGACACTCCTGATTGCACTGGTAAAGCAGCAGCCTTCCATTCCGTGCTTCGCAACAATATGCTCTTGATCTCCTCGTCGTCGAAAGGGTCGATCTTTTCTACAGGAAGAGACGGCTCTCCCATTCTATTCCAAAAGCTGACACATATATCTACAATTGCTGGATCTTCGTTGAATCTTTCCTCTTCACCTACACGCTGTCGACGAATAGCAAGGATTGGAATGTACATATAGCTTTCGTCAACTTCAGACGCCTTGGTTACAATCCTTGGTCGAACTATATCTTGCCAATCCGAGGCACAATCTCGATTTTGTTCATTTTCAACATTGCTGCTACCTTCGGACGCAAAATGGGTGTCCACCGTGCTCTGATGATCACGTTGATTTGCTCTCGACTCGTGTCGAGACGGGAGATTGATCGTTTGATATGGCTCAGGAATCGACCATGCATCAAAACCTGCAGGAAGCTCAAGCAGTGTTTCCAAAGCAACTGCTGCTAGATCGCCAATATCCATCGAACCTCGAGTCATAATCTGTGGACTTCCGAGGATTCGACTTTGCATAACATTTTTCCCGGCTTCTGCAACCCTTAGCAGAGCCGCGGCCCCCTTCTGTGAAACTGTGCTAGTAGTAACTGCACTTTCGGTTGCTGATCTATTATCTATTGTTGCATCCAAAGTTACTTTATGTACTCGAGCATACAAAAGTTGCACTTGACTGATTGCTTTTTCACTGAATTCGTCAGGCGCTCGCCGCCTGTACGATAGATAGAACTTCTTCTTTTGATAGGTATCAGCAAGAACCAAACGTTGTGCGAAGCTTGATGTGACTTTTCTGCGAAAATCCTTCAATGGCGTAGACTTGGACATTCGACTGTCTTGCTCAAGTTGTAGCCGGGCTTCTAACGAGCTTTGAAGTTCTTCCGCAAGTCCACTTACTGGGTCCAGATTTGCATGGTAGACTTCACCTTTTCGAGATTGCGAATTGCAAATGACGCTCGTTGTTTCCAATGCTGCATCAACATCCATAGGCTTTGTCTCCTTCAGTACTGTCCATCCTCCTAACTCTACCTCTCCATCATCAGTTCCACCCCTCGAAGCTACGTTAGACAGGCTAGGCGAAGGTACCCCAAGAACAAACTGTCCTTGAATCGCGGAGAGTGCGTTGTCCTTATATGCTTCTCTACTCGCTTCTACAGCCACAATTCTGCAGTCTACAATCTCCCTGTAAAAGCGCTCTATCAGCATAGCCTCATCTTCTTCTGGACGTGCACTGTTCTGGTCATTTGTTGACTTTGCCTGAGCATGATTCCATATCAAGTCTTCCCCAACTCCTACGATCGCAAAGTAGTCGGCTACTCCAGCTCTTTGTTTCTCTGGCGATTCTTTCTCCAACCAACCCATCCTGCATCCATTTCAAATGAATAATTTTAAGAACTTATCACCGTTGCAAATAACGCCTAAGTAATGCCTTTCCGGCCGAATGATCCAGGGCCAATCAGCAGTATAACTTTGATACGAATAAAAAGACGACGTAAATGCCTTGTTAGGACTAACTAGTATCTGAAGTTAGTATTCAAGAAAAGCTTTGGCTTTGCTTGCGCAGCAGTCACCCTTCGTCGTTTTTGAAGCTTCGGCCTTCGACTTCGAAACGTGTGGCTCACTTTTTCGCGTGCTATCTCCTTGTCAACTTCCACCCACCCATCACTGTTTACTGTTGGTCGGAGGAATCGTCCAGAGCATTCTTTTATTATCGCCACAATTTCTTCGGCAATTACCGTTTTTTCCCACTTCTCTGCAACTTCATATCTACTTCTCCGCTTTTCGATTAGTTGATGGAGCCTCACGTTGCCGGGATGCTCCTTCACTTTTCCTCTTCCAAAAAGCACATCTCCCGGAGAAGGAGAAGAATAAATCTTTCTCGCAGGAGGGGACTTCTCGGAATCACTTGAAGTGTCTATATTTTCGATCACGTTGGGCTGACCTTTGCGGCATGTAGATAAATCGGTGGATTTTACAGCATTCTTTTTTGGTTGTACAGCAGCGGTCCTCGCCGGGCCTGTCGCGACGACTGTGGGGGGTATTGTTATTGAAGACACCTTTTGGTTCCCTTCTACCTTTCTTCTCATGTATATCCAGTCTTGGTGGCTTTTTGATTTCAGGCCTCCAATTAGCGACGCTGGTATGGACCTAGAAGCAATGCCAAACGACACCAGCTCAGAGTGAAAATCTGTCGCCGAAACTAAAGGTACAACAACAAAAAGAGATGTGAGGACAGATACGATTGAAGACAAACAGTTATTGTGAGGATTAATTACCTTGGTGGGCCCTGCATCTCGCTCGGGTGTGCTCATCAAAAGCACTCCTTTCACAATTGATGAAATCGACAAAACTGGGATGATTGAAACAATAATGCATAGCGACAAATCGAATTGGTAAACAGTTTCGAAGCCGGACAGACTGTATGATTTTTGCATGGTCCAATCTTTCCGCCATGAGACTAAAGTTATAAAGGACTCCTACAACACCTTTCTTCTGTGAATCTTCATCGTCAGCTTGGGTCATCAACATGTAGTAGACTGCACGTAGCTGCAATACTTTGTCAGCAAACTAGTTCCAAAAACAACATTACAAACGCAGTCCCACAACATACCAAGTTCGTGTCACTTGCACACCGTTGCAGTGATTGGATATTACAAAAGATAATCCTTCCAGCCATGTCTCGTTCAGGAAGAAACTGCATGTGGCCATTTTGAATCACAGCCATGTCATCGTAATTGAGATCGTCCATTACAATGCTCTTAACAAGTTTTTCCGGACCAAAGAGTTCCTTTTTGTAGTCAAAGAAGTTCACCATTCGTCTTCCGGCTCGTTGTGGATCCAGTCTATCGGCTCTAAGAAACTTTAGGCGGAACGATCTATCATTGACATATGATTCGGACGCAGCCAGGGCTCGATCGTAAGCAGCTTTCTGAGGAATTGCCTTTATTGCAGCATCTAGTTCATCAAGTTTAGCCTGCAGCATTTGTGGGTCTTCATCAGGAAAATCTGCGATACCATGGATGTCGTGGAGTATCTGCTCCCTGTCCTTGCTCGAAAGGGCATTCATATCTCTAGCAACGAGGGAATCAACTTCAGCTTGACTTGGAGGGCGAAACATTGTGCCCAAATGTTCTTCAGAATGGGAATGCGCTTCTGCAGCCCCCACCGTCGAGGATAAAGGCAACATTGGAAGGGAATAACTTTCATTCGTTTCTCCAAATAGGTCCGCGAACTCGTCGATGTTAGCACCGAAGTCCATGGCGAGAATGCTTTGTGCCCGCTGCTCATATCCACCGACACGACTGTTCTGATCATATTAGTCGATTTCACACTACCAGTACAACGCAATACGACAAACAAACGACAAATAATAAATGAAATACACCTGGGATACCGGTGTGAAACCCATTTCGGTTTGCACCCCTGCAGCACGGGGTTATCAAATTCTAGCTCAACAATGTATGTTCATCATTTAAAAAGGGGATCCTAACTATTTCAGGGCCCAAAACTAATATTTATAGTTTATTTCTCCGAAAACATTTGGTGATTGATCAACGACAAAACTTTGTCGTAATTTTTGTCGTAGTTTGTCGTAATTTTTGTCGTAGTTTGTCGTAGTTTGTCGTAGTTTTTGTCGTAGTTTTTGTCGTAATTTTTTGTCGTAAATTCTTTACCATCAACTGAGCAACTACAACAAAATTTACAAAAAAATTTACGACAAAATTTACGACAAAATTTACTACAGAACTAAAAAAGTAGAGAGAATTCTCGGCTCGCGCGCAAGCATGACGTGAAACAAATCAATCGAAATGAGCCACTGTGTTGCCTTTTCAAGTGAGGCCTGCAATATCAAATATTTTAAAATAGTTCAAGTCTAATTTATTTCATATATCCCAATTTAATTAAACATCCGAATCTGGGTAATGATCACCAGTATTTGCGGGGGAAATTGGATGTCCATGATCCACAGCATCTGAACAAGCACAGCAACTGCCTCTAGCACAAGCACATGGTTCTTCGGATCATGATGATAAGTCGCATCAAGGATTCGATCTTCAATTCAAACTCTCCTGACTTGCTCACAACTTGGATTTGAATTCGAATAAGGGTCCAGGATCAGCAAGGCTGGGGAGGGCAAGCTTTGCGTTGTTGCCTGACGTCTTTTTGTCAGTGTAGACTCTGTCGCAGACAACAACTTTTCCTTTTGGAACCTTTTCCCGTAGCCCTCCATCTTCTGCAAAGATTTCCCGATCACCCATAGCAACCCTCTTTGATCCGCTTATCCATACGGTCTTGCATTGGGGTCAAAACCTTGAAAAGAGCTCTTCCAGATGGTTGATTGCACGAGTCCCTTTCGCTGTATCTGTTCATTCGTTGAAATGCCATGTCTGCCAATTATCCATCCATGCTTCATGGCCAGCATATTTTTCCAGCAAAAATCTGGATCATCTCGCCTTTGAGAGCGTGTAAATCTACCATCTTTTATCTTATGATGATTGTTGCATGGTGTTTTTCCTCCGTCGTACTGGGTACGTGTACTTGTTGACAATGA